ACCACAACCTTTTCAATTCTTGTCCCCAAGATCTGATGCTAACAATATCACAACATAAGTCAGTACAACCTTGAAAGCCCCACAGTCCTTTAAAAAAAAAATCTAAGCACTAGCTGGGCATGGTGGTGCACACCTGTAGTCCCAGCACTTGGGAGGCAGAGGCAGGCAGATCTCTGTGAGTTCAAGGCCAGCCTGGTCTACATAGTGACTTCCAGGACAGCTGGGGCTACAGGGAGACCCCATCTCAAAAAGACAAAAAAAAAAATTCTAAGCACTTAAAAGTCCACAGTGTCAGGGCTGGAGAGATGACTCAGTGGCTAAGAACACTGGTTGTTCTTGCAGAAGACCCAGGTTTGAATCCCACACCCACATGGCAGCTAACAACTGTCTGTAACTCCAGTCCCAGGGATCCAACAGCCTCTTCTGACCTCTGCGGGCATTGCACAACACAGGTGCTCTTACCTATATGCAGGCAATGCATGCATACACATAAAATAAAAATAATGAGCAAATTTAAAAAATACCACAGTGTCTTTAAAAAGTCTCTTAACTATGGGCTCCTGTAAAATCTAAAATAAGTACTGTCTTATTTCAAAAGGGAAGAATTGGGCACACCTAAGCAAAACCTAAGCCCAGCAAAGTAGCTCAAGGCTGGACATCTGGAATTCACTCACGATCTTCTGGGCACCACTGGGTTCTGGCAGCTCCACTTCTCTGACTCTGCAGTCCACAGCACACACAGCTCGTCTCACAGACCCAGGCCAGCTCCATTCTATACCTGCTGCTGTCCTTGGTGGTCATTCCATGGTCCCAGCATCTCAAAAAAATTGGGGTCTGCACTGGCCTTTCGGGGTGCAAAGCCTCAGATTCTCTCCATGATCCCTTCACTCCTGGGGTCTTCACTGTAACTGAGGCTGCACTTTCACTAATGACCTTTCCTGACCTCTCAGGGTGCCAAGCCTCAGCTGCTCTCTGTGACCCCTTCACACTTTCAACACCAGAACCATGTAGGAGGCTCTTACACATTACCAAGTCCTGCTTCCAGCTTGAGATGGAGGCTCAGGCCCCCTCTGGACCATAGCTTCTATGTGCTTACCCTGAGGAAATACTTCTGGAAAATTCCACCACAGTGATGCTGGTTTCTTGTTACTTACAGCTGATTTTTCAGCCCAGCTGACCAGCATCAATTGTTGTTCTGGTCTCTTCTTAATCACAGCTGGTTCTTGACCAGAACCCACAGAGTCACAATTCAAGATATCACACAAACAACCTTCATAGTCTCCACTTCCCTTTGAAGCTTCACAAGCCAGGCCTCATCATCCACAACTCTTTCAGCATAACTGTTCCAATCTTCTCAGCAACAAACTCTAAGCTCTCAATGACTTTTCCAGCTCAAAGTTTGAAACACTTCCACAATCCTCCCCAAAACACCAAGGTCAGGTCTGTCACAGCAATAGCCCACTCTCTGGTACCAATTTCTGTTCTACTTTGCCTTCGATTGCCATGTCAAAACACTCTAACCAATATCAACTTGGAGAAGAAAGGGTTTATTTAGCTTACATCTCCCAGGTCACAGTTCATCACTAAGGGAGTCCAAGGTAGGACTCAGGGCAGGAACCTGAAGGGAGAAGCTGGAGCACAGGCCATGGAGAAACGCTGCTTACTGACTTACTGACTTGCTCCTCTGTTTCATGCTCAGATTGCTTTCTTTTTTTCTTTCTTTCCTTCTTTCTTTCTTTTTTTCTTTCTTTCTTTCTTTCTTTCTTTCTTTCTTTCTTTCTTTCGGTTATTGATTATTTTAAGAATCAAAGATCTACACACTTTGAACTCACAGAACTGAGAGAATTGAAATGTACAACTAAGCATTGTTGATTTTTCTTTCTTTCTTTTTTGGTCTTTTTGAGACAGGGTCTCCCTGTAGCCCCAGCTCTCCTGGAACTCACTATGTAGACCAAGCTGGCCTTGAACTCACAGAGATCTGCCTGCCTCTGCCTCCCAAGTGCTGGGATCAAAGGTGTGTGCCACCACACCCAGCCTCAGACTGCTTTCTTATACCATACAGAACAACCTGCCCAGGGCTGGCACCACCGATAGTGGGCCCTCCCTCATCACTCAAAAATCAAGAAAATGCCCAACAGACATGGCCACAGGCCAGTCCAATCGAGGCAGTTCCCCAATTGAGGTTCCCTTGACCCAGATGTGTCAAGTTGACAAAAGCTATCCAGCACATGGGTCTTACGCACTTGAGAGCCTGAGGTCCTCACTCTGTGGTCACAGGTAGGGGATGTTCCTGTCTGCCAGGAAGTGTCTCCTCAGACCCCCAAATGGGTGAAAGGGACTGGCTCAGCTGCTTCTCACAGGGACAAAGGGAATGCTTGCGGTCTTAGCTGGGAGACTCACGGATCCCAAGGCCTAGGTGGCAGGCCTGGGTTCTAGGACTGAACCCCACCAGGGACCTAGACCTGGGCCTGCACAGAGAAAGACCTTGGCACAGCCGGCCCTATCCTAGTCTATCGGCCCCCAAGGCCTCAATCCAGGAGAACCAAGTCCAACAAGGGACCCGCAGAGGCAGGGCTCTGGTTTACAGAGCTATGATTCTGACCTTTCCTTTTGCTTGCAAGTGGAGAGAAAGACAGAAGTTGGAGGGTCCTAGGGGACCCCCTAGAAGCTTCTACCACCATAGATGGAAGTTTAGGCAGCATGTGGGCACAGCAGGAAATGAGAATGGGTCCTAAATTCCTACAGTGCTATATGGTGATATAACCACTTAACTGAGACCCCAGGGATGTCAGCCCTGTGGAGCCTGACCCAGCCTGAGGCAGGAAAAACCAGGCCACCATTTCTGTGACTTCCTTCCCATACCTCAGCTCTCAGTGAACCTGCTTTTAAGCCCTTGACTCAGTTTCCCTACCTCTCAAATGGTGACTATACCATGTCTGTCTCTAAGGGTGATGTGTGGTTCTGTAACGGAAACATGTTTCACCCAGGATATCCTAAAGCCAAGTAGCACTGAGCGAAAGGAAGAATTGTCCATGGGCCATAGGTGCCACCTCAGGCTATGATGCAGGCAAGTGAGCAAGGTGAGACGTCCAGACAGGGTCCCCTTACCAAGCCAGGTGCCTCCTTAGGCCCCTGCTGGTGGGCCAGGCCTCGTAGAGCAAGAATCCCAGGATGGTCTCAACTTATATCTGGGGGGTTGGGCCTCCTGCCTGGCCCACTCTGCTTTCTCTGTTCCTTACAAACTGTTGTTTTTATTTTGTTTTTGAAGCAGAATCTTACTCTGTAGTTCAGACTAGCCTAGAACTCACTATGTAGCCCAGGCTGGCCTCACTATAATCCTCCTGCCTCAGCCTCTTGAGGCATCACTATCCTAGAAGCTCATGATGTCTCATAAGCCACGTCCCTCCATGAGGAGCTATTGACAGTTGATGGTTTCTAGGGAGGTAGAGTCAGGTAGAGTCAGTTTTCTTTAAGGATGTGGCTCCAAGTAGCTCATCCATGCTTCAGTGGATGGCCCTGCACCCATGAGTGTATGAACAGCACAAATTGGACTTGGTGGGTTATTATTTTTTTTAATTTTAAAAAAGGCACAAAGTTGGGAGGCAGTAGGGAGGTGGGAGGTGGACGTGGGAGGAGTTGAGGGGAGTAGTGGGGGTGAATATGATCAAAATACATTGCATGAAATTCTCAAAGAATTAATAAGAATATATTAGAGAGCTGGAAAGATGGCTCAGCAGTTAAGAGCACTAGCTGCTCTTGCAGAAGACCCAGGTTCAGTCTCAGAACCCATATGGTGGCTAGCAACTGCCTGTAACTCCAGTTCCAGGGGATCCAACACCCTCTTCTGGCCTCTATGGGCACAACACACATGTGGTGCTCTTACATGCATGTAGGCAAAACACTCATACATATAAAATATAAATAAATTAAAAAAATTTTAAATGTTACATTAAAGAAAAGCTCACCATGTCAAAACATCTCAACACTAGGACGAGTCAGTAGGGAAGAGCTACTCAGGACTGAAGGGTTTGTACAGCGGCCTGGGCTCAGTGCCAGCTGGGGCAAAGCTGCCCCCTTGGTCTTCTGTGCCTCATCCATGGGTCCCAGAGACTCTTGTTTTACCTGTCTGCAGCTCTGGGTTCTCTGGGGTTGTGACCCTCCTCCTTGTTCCTGTCACGTCTAGGACAATGGAGTCACTAAGCTGGGGCTGATTGGTGGGAGACCAGGTAGGTCCCTGGGACCAGTCCAGAGGCAGAGCTCAGCTGGAAAGGGGGTATCTCTCATGACAGATACAAATGGAGGTGGCCTGGCCTGGAGCAAACACAGTCCAAACCTTGAGTTCCTCCCAGACCAAGGGCAAGGGCACCCCTCCCCACACCCCCATGATTGAACTCCAAGCTGTCCAGGCAGGGAGAGGGCAGCCTAAGATCAGGTTTGACTTTGAGGCAGAGTGGAGCTGGGCCCACCAGGGATTTCTGAAGGGTCAGGTACAATCTAGCCTGGTGTGGCAGACATAGTGATTGGAGTTGCAGACTGCCTCAGGTAATCCAGCTCACCACCTTGTAGGATCCTGCCTGTGTAGACTTCAACCCAGCACTAGGTTTGAGTGACTGCATTCTCCCTCCTCTGTGTTTTTGTCAGTGTCCATTACCTGCTTCCCTGCACTGCCCTTGGCCTCTGATGCCAAGTCCGAGTCGACCCAATAGCATTGTCTGCCATCCTGTCCAGGGCCAGCACCAGCCTCAGAGGTTGGCCTGGGAGGGGTTCCCAACATCTGTCCCTCCCCTTTCTGAGAGATCCCCCCCCCCCCCCGGGGGGGG